ATGCATGTATCTATATATATATAGATGTATATATAAACAGATTGTATACACTTACAAATATAAGCATGCAATTATATATAGTGAATACCTATCTGCATATATATATATATACAGATAGGTATATGTTCACTATATATATATATATATATATATATATATATATATATACATGTATGTACATTTGTATGTATATATGTATCGATCCGAACGGGGTGCACTGCGGGAGCTGCGGGCGATGGGGGGGACCGTTTGCACGACCGCGGTGACGTGGGCGTTACTTCCTCTGTTCTGCTACTGACTCGCCGAGGTGCTCGACCCAGATGCGATGTGGTCACGGGTGGATGTCAGGGTACATCGCAAGTGACCACGGAGCTTCCCAAGAGAGGTCCCCGAAGAGGCCCCCAAAAGAGCGCAAGGGGCTCCCTTCCCTTCAGGGTCGGCGGCACCGGCCGTAAGGCCTTCCCAATAGTACATCGCAGAAAATCACGACCGGAGCCCTGGACCCCGTCTTCCTGCGTGCTTTTTCGAGACGGTGAGGGTCCCAGGGCCCAACGCCTGGCGAAAACGCGCGTGGCGAAAAAAAATCGAACGCCAGGATCCCTTGCAGCAGCGTCGTTTAGAGCATTCAGCGGTGCACGCGGTGGCTCACATCGATGCTGCTTCGAGCATCCTCTGATGATCGGTCTGGATTCAGTCTCTGGCAAGACAGCTGCCCAGACAGCTCCGCACAGCGGGAGGGAAGCGCTGGCTGCACGGCGCTTCCCCCACCTCCGCAGCCAGTTGCCGCAGAGGCCCCACGGCGGGCCGGGCTGGCAGCACGCACTCTGCCCTGCGCGCGCGCGTGGAGTCCGGGCCGAAACTCGTCGGGGCAGGTGCGGGGCCGCCCCATGAGGCGCCCGGGGCCTCCGAGAGGCCCCAGAGCGAGGGGGCGGCGGCGCGGCGCTGGCCCAGGCCGCAGCGCCCCGAGAGAGGGCTCGCGCGGAGGGCCTGCACAGCCACAGCGGCCCAGGGGCCTCCCAGAAGGGGTCCACTGCACCGCGTCGCCGATGCATCGCCGATGCGTCGGCGACGTCGGCGGTGCATCGACGAAGGCGGGACGGCGGAACTCGGGCTCCACATCGAGCCGCGTCTTGGGTGCCTCGGCGATGCGGCGCGAGCTTCCCTCTGCTCGGACCCCAGTCGGGAGGCCAGGAGCAACGGTCCAGAGGCCCCCAAGAGCCGCGGAGGCACAATCCTGCTCAAAAGTCCTGGGCCACCGAGGAAAGGAGGAGAAAGGAGACCCGACGACGAGAGGATACATGAGCGGGAGCAGGAGGAGGAGCTCTGGGACGACGTCAGCTGGGACTGCCTCCACGACAGGTGCGGCACTATCTCTGTCGTCCCGGAGGCGCTCCGCTATGCCATAGCGGACTTCCGGAAGGTGCTGTGCGACTCCGTCTTGGCGGCGGCCGGGGGCGAGAGCGAGGTCCGCGGCCTGAAGGCGCTCCTCTTCTCGGACCGCCTCCTCTTCGCTGCGTCGCGGAAGCGGCGGGGAGGGACCAGGGGCCAGAAGGGGGAGACAGTGGCGCGCACGCTGGCCAGGCGGATCCGGCTGATCTGGGAGGGGTCGTGGACATCCTCTGGCAGGAGGCGGAGTTCCCGCTGCGCACCGGCGGCGGCGTGGCACTCACAGCAGCGCAAGGCTTGGCGAAAGACGTCCAGGCGATCGAGGAGACCCTTGCTGACGAGGACGTGCGGGAGGCGATGCGGGTGCTTGACGGGAAGCTGCCGCTCGCCCCAGACGAGAAAGCACGCCGTTGCCTCCCGGCGCTGTTCCCAAGGGCGGCCGCCCAGCCAGACGTCCCAGACGTGCAGCCTACGGATGATGACGTCGACCGTTTCCTGGTACAGCTGCGCCTGGCGTACCTCCACGCTCCGAGGCACCGCGGCGCGGGCCCAGGAGGCGCCCGGGGAGAGCATTGGGCATGGATGCCGCAGCACGAAGAGGCGTCGGACAGCTTCGCCAAGGTGATCCTGAACCTGCAGCTCGGCGAGGCTCCGCGCGAGGCCGTGCAGGCTTGGCTGGGCGCCCGCGTCCTGGCCGGGGACCGGGAGGAGCACGACAAGGTCCGGCCGTTTGCCCTAGGCATCTTCCACCGCCGCGCCGCTCCCAGAGCGGTGAGCAGGGTGTTCCGGGGCAGGGTGGCGGCGGCCCTCGGCGACGGCGAATACTCCGTGGGCAAAGCGAGGGGAGCGGAGTTCATGCACAAAGCAGCGCTGCTTGACTTAGACAGCCGGCTGGGGTGCTGCAAGCTGAGCTTGGACGCCAGCAACGCACACAACGACTACGACCTGGCCGCTGCAGCGCGGGCCGTCCAGGCGATGGTCCCCGAGCTGCTGCCGTGGGCTCGCGGCGGTCTGAGCACGGCGGCCGTGCACGTGCATGTGGCGCAGGACGGCAAGCGCACGCTGCTCCCGAAGGAGAGGGGGGGCGACCAAGGCGACGCGCTCACCAACCAGCTGTTCCCACTCTGCTACAAGAACGTGGCGGACTCGGTGGTGGCCGCGGCCGGGACGGCGACCGAGCTGGGACGCAGCTAATTACTGCTACCAAGACGACCTGGATGTGATCTGCGAGCCGGCGGAAGGGGCGCAGACGGAGGCGGCGTTCGTCGCCGCGTGTGCCCAGGTTGGCCTCCGCGGCAACCCGACCAAGACCAAGCTCAGCCCAGGGCGCCAGGTGGACGTGGCAGCGCTGCCTGCGCACCCAGAGGTGGAGCCGCGGGCCCTCGTGCTCCGCCACGGTGCGCTGCCCGCCGCGCCAGGGGGGCCGGTTGCCCCAGCCGCGCAGCCAGCCGACGGCAGTATGCTGGCGCAGGGGAGCCCGGAGGTGACCCGCCTGGCGGCTTCCCGGGCGCGAGTGTACTCCCGCTTGAGAGAGCTCCGGGCCGCTGGACTGGACGCGCAGCAGGCCCTCGCGCTGCTGCGAGCCAGGACGAGCTCTGACTACACCTTCCTCGCGCGCACCTGCGGCATCCCGACGACAGAAGCCCGCGCCCTGGACGCGGCGCTCCTGGCGGAGGTGCAGCACGTGCGCGGCCGGCCGCTGGGGGGCCTGAGCGGGAGGAAGCTTTGCCTCGCAGGAAAGGACGGCGGACTGGGGCTGCAGAGCGTCGAGCTCACGGCGGCGGCGGCCCAGGCGGCGTCGCGGCACCTCTGCCTCCCGCACTGCCTGCGCAGACGTGGGCTGGACGGGGCAGGCGCGCTGGCCAGCGTGAGCCCCTGGGCGCGGAGGTGCCTCCCGGAGGCGACCCGGGTCTTCCAGGCTGCTCTTCAGGACGAGACCGCCCACGTGGGCGACGAGGGGCTCGCAGCCCCGCAGCACACTCTGGCTTCGGCCCCCATTCCTGCGGTTGCGCGCACCGTCGCTAACGAGGCGAGCTACGACCCTTTGGCAGCGGCGGCCCTGCACAGTGCAGGCGGCCCCGGGGCGAGCGCCTGGCTGGGCCCGCCTTCCCGGCCCGAGCACCGCGTCTCAAACGCGCAGTTCGGCGTCGCGCTGGGCGTGCGCCTCGGCGAGGACCTGCCCTGCTGCACGGGAGTGTGTCAGCACAGGCACCCCGACTGGAGCGTGTGTGGAGCTGTGCTGGACCCGAAGGGGCAGCATGCGCAGTCCTGCGCGGTGGGCGGGTGGCTCGTCCGCCGCCACGACGCCGGCTGCACCGTGCTGGCGGCCTGGTGTGAGGAAATGGGTTGCACGGTGAACCAGGAGATGGTGTTGCCGCACGCCGCAGCCAGCCGGCCCGAGGCCCGAGGCCCGAATGGACCTGATAATCCACGCTCCCCGGGTAGCTGTCCCCATGCGGGTGGACCTCACCGTGGTCAGCGCGCTGTCCCAGAACGCGCCGGAGCGCGGGTCAGCCCGGCGCGCCGGCGCCGCGGCCGCGGCGGCCGAGAACGACAAGCGCGCGCGCACCCTGGGCTGAGGATGGCCCCCTTCGCTGTCGAGGACCACGGCAGGCTCGGGGAGGACGCCCTGGCCCTGGCGCGCCTGCTGGCCCGCCGCCCGATGACGACGGGCGGTCGGCGGCCATCCGCCGGCTGCACCAGGCGCTAGGCAGCGTCTTGCAGTGCCACGCTGCGGACGCCGTCCTTGCTGCCACGCAGCACAGGGCTTGGCGAGGGCCCCGGGCTGGGCGCTGAGCGCGCCGGGCCAGACGAGGGCGCGGCGCGGCGACCGCGGGAAGGCTCTGCTCGCCTGCTGGCGGCGCTGGGGCTGGGGCGCTGCTAGGCGGGGCGCAGGCGGCGGGGCGGGCCGCGGCCGGCGGCGCCTGGGCCTGGCTGGGGCTGCGCGCAGGCGGCGGCGGGGGCGCCCCGGCGGGCTGGCGCGGCGGCGAGGCAAGAGCTCGCGCGGCGGCGCTAGGCAGGCGCGGCGGCGGCGGCGGGCCGGGCAGCGCACGCCGCGGCGGCGGCGGCGGGCCGGGCAGCGGGCCCGCGCGGCGGCGGAGCCGGTGCTGGCGCGGCGGCCGGAGCTCTGGCAGGCCCGCAGGCTGCCGCCAGAGCCGCCCGGGCCGCGGGCGGCGGCAGGCCGGCGCGGGGCAGAGGCGAGGAGGAGGAGGGGGCGGCTGCGCGGGGCGACTGGCTGGCGGCGCCGCGCGGGCCAGCCCGTCGGGAAGCTGGCCTACTTCGTCCTCGCGGGGCTCGCCGAGCTCCCGTGTATCGGGTGGTAGAGGCCCCGGCCGGCAGACCCCTCCCCCCTGGGAGTGGCAGCTGTCTCAGACAGCCGGCCACCCCCGGGGGAGCCGTCCCCGGCTACGGAGGAGTCTGCCAGCCGTGCGGGGAAGACTCGCGGCCGCCTGCTGGAGGAGGAGGCGGAAGAGGAGGCGGAGGAGGAAGCGAAGAGGACGGAGTGCGAGGACGGGGAGGCGGAGGAGGAGCAGGAGGCCAGCCCCTCGCCCACGCTCGCAAAGGCGGCGCGTGCACACCGAGACGAGGCGGACTCTGCGAGCGCCCCTCCCCGCGCGCCTGCTGCCGCACGTTTGCGGGCGGCGCGCCTGTGAGCGTCGGCCGGTGCAGAACCACCTTCGGGGCCAGCGGACGCGAGGGGGCAGAGAGAAGGGAGGGGAGAGGGGCAAGGACACAGACCCCCTCGCAACCTGAGATGCGTAAACAAAAAACAGAACAAAAAATGTGCGGCCATTTTCCGCCTATGAGGGTCCTTGCCAGGCCCCGGGAGCGTGAGAAAAACTACTCAGGATGAAAAGCTGGCCCTGGGGAAGGGGTCCAGACCTCTGGGCGGCCCACATAGGGGAGCCAAAGCACGACGCTGGGGTCTGGAGAGGGGGACAGGCCAGAAGGGGGTTGGCTGGTTGGCTGGTGGCCGGGGCACGCGCTGGGCGGCAACTCCCCACTCAGGAATGGCGGGAGACAGTGCACCTCCTGTCGCAGGGGTCCACTACCAGAGCGTCGTGGGACAGAGGGGCCCGGTCGACCCCCAGGGAGAACAGGGGGGCCTCTGAGGCGTCCCCCACGCACACAACCATGACAGCGCGGCATCGTGTGCCCAAGGCGGGTGACAAGAGAGTGAGGCCCGCAGCCGGGGCTCCTCCCCTTGCGGAGGGAAGCTCAGGAGGCTCCAGGAGCTCGCGAGGCCAGTCGGTCTCACTCAGGTGCTGCTCAAGATCCTGCTCCATGAGCAAGTTCTTCGAGCGCTCGAGTCCCTTCCAGGAACCACGCGCCCAGAATGCCCCCGATGACACGGAGGGCGGGATGGGCAGCAGGACAGCACGCAGCCCACCTCCGCTGGGGCCCCGCCAGCCCACGCCTGGCCCCGGCGGCACCGACTGGCGCAGCTGCGGAAAATTTGGGGGAGGACGGAGGAGGCCGTCCCCCGGGTGGGTAGAAACGAGATGATCATAACCAATACTGAACGCGAAAATGTCGGTAATTTTGGTAACGTCAAATTGTTCGGGGAGACGTAAGACCCGGGTACGGGGGACTCGGAAATCCCCGACGAGGTCGTCAAAAAAATGACGAGGCCGAGCCTGCATTTTGACGAGGCCTCCCGCTGCAGACATCCCACAAAACTCCTCCTCGTCAAAATCCGAGTCGCGGTCGTCAAAAAACGATGGCGAACCCGAGTCCCGGCAAACCCGGGTCTTACGCTCCCCCGAATTGTGCATCATCCTCGCGAATCGGCGACGGCCTGTATGGATAATCACCAAGATCTGGATCGACAAGATCCCGCGACATGTTCGCCATGGTCACTGTGGTTCGTTCCCTCGAGAAGGTTCGACAACCTCTCTTCCACCCCAGCTCGCCCAGGGAGCGTGACCTTGTCTACAGGGGGGGGCCAGGGGGACAGGACAGAAGATCAGGGAAAGCGCTCTCGGCGGACAACGATCCAAAGAGTACCTCGAGCACCCCCAACGGCCATGCGCATCCCGAAGGAGGAGGGAAGAGATTTGGGGAAGAGGGAGGAGCGAGGAGGAAAGAGGTCGAAAGGGGAGGACAAATAGAGGGGGAGAGGACAGGGAGGGGGAACGACGAGGGAGTGGAGGAGAAGAGGGATGAGAGAGAAATAGGGGGAGAGTCAACGAGTTCCCGGTTGCCGGTTCCCAGCTCCGCTTCCCGGTTCACGGTTCCCGGTTCCCCCAGCTCCCGGTTCCCAGCTCCCGGTTCCCAATTCCCAGCTCCCGGCTCCTGGTTCTCCACTTCCAGGTTCGGGGTTTCCCGGTTCCCGGCTCCCGGTGCCTGGTTCCCGCTTCTCGGCTCCCAATTCCCGGCTCCCGGCTCCCGGTTCCCGGCTCCCGGTTCGGTTCCCGGTTCCCGGTTCTAAATCCCGGTCCCCGTTTCCCAATTCCCGGTTCCCGGCTCCCGGTTCCCCGTTCCCGCTTCCCGGTTCCTGCCAATTCCCGGGTCATTTCCGGTTCCCGGTTCCCGGTTCCCGGTTCCAGGTTCCCGTGTCGGGATTCCGTGCTCCAGGTTCAGGATTCCGGGTTCCAGCTTCCTGGTTCCTGGTTCGGATTCCCGGGTCCGAAACCTTGGTTCCCAGTTCCAAATCCCTGGTCCAAGGTCCGGGGTCTCGGTTACCTGGGCACGGTTCCGGGTTCCCGGGCCCCTGTCCCGGTTCCCATCCAGATCGTTCTCATCTTCATCATCTTCTCATCATCTTGATTTTCTGTATTATCATGATCTTTATGACCCTGATTCGCTCTTCCTCCTCATCTTGATGTTCCTACTCCTAATCCCAGTCCTCCTCCTCCTCCTCCTCCTCCTCCTCCTCCTCCTCCTCCTCCTCCTCCTCCTCATCCTCCTCCTCCTCCTCCTCCTCCTCCTCATCCTCATCCTCATCCTCTCCTCATCCTCATCCTCCCTCATCCTCTCCTTCTCCCTATCCTCCTATCTCTCATCATCCAATCCTCATCCTCATCCTCATCATCATCATCATCATCATCATCATCATCATCATCATTCATCATCATCGTCATCATCATCATCATCATCAGCATCATCATCATCATCATCATCATCATCATCATCATCATCCTCATCCTCATCCGCATCCTCATCCTCATCCTCATCCTCATCCTCATCCTCATCCTCATCCTCATCCTCCTCGTCCTCCTCCCCCATATCTTCGTCCTCCTCCTCCTCCTCTGGATTCTGATCCTCCTCCTCTCTCTGATCCTCTTGGGGAGGCCTTCTGATCATCCTGATCATCATGATCATCATCATCATCATCATCATCATCACCACCACCACCACCACCACCACCACCACCACCATCATCATCATCATCATCATCATCATCATCATCATCATCATCATTTTCATCCTCCTCATCTTCATCCTCCTGGTCCTCCTGATCCTGCTCCTCATTATCCCGATGGTCCCGCTGATCCGCCTCTTCATGATCCTCCTCATCCCGATCCTCCTCTTGATCCTGATATTCCTGCCCCCCCGCCCTGATCAGCATCATCATCCTCCTGGTCCTGATCCCGCTGGTGCTCTGTCTTCTGAGCCAACCCCGACCGGATCCTGATCCTCCCCATGATCCTCATCATGATCCTCGGTGTCCTGAAAGTGATCCTCCTGACCCTCCTTATCCTGTGTGGAAAAACATGCCCCTCGGATTGGATATGCCCCCTGCTCTGCACTTAACCCCCTTATGTACTCTTTTTCCCCTCCCTCTCTCTCTCTCTCTCTCTCTCTACTCTCGCTCTCACCGCTGCCGGCTCGGTTCGAGCCGGCTTGAGGCAAACTGGTTCCTGGTAGCAGGACTGGAAAAGGGGGCTCGCTCTCTCCTCGAACCCTGCGGGCTCCGCCGCCGACCCCCGCTGCGGGATCGGGAGTTCTAGAGGGGGCCCAACCCGGTTCCGCAGTGGTAGCGGAGCCCGCATCTGCGCGGGCGCCATCGGCCGACGCCGAGATCGAGATCCACGAGATGAGTTTCAGTGCTGAGTGACTGCTGTATATCGAAAACGAACTGGACGTGCACACGGAGTACAAAGACGGGAGCGATGCGGCCAGCATCAGCTCCAGAGCGCTATCTGGCGATGGGCGGCGGCACGCTATCACCGGACGCGCTTCCTCCGCGACCGAGCGGAGGCAGAGGGGCTGCGTGGACTTCGCGCTCCTCGACGAGTTGGATCGCAGCGCCAGCGTGGACCAGCCGCGACCTGGAGGGCATACCCAGCTGGGACGGCAGCCCTTCGCGCTGGAAAAGAGATACAAGAAGGACGTGGCGCTGTGGATCGAAGGCATCAACCTGGACGTGAGTTGGAGCTGGGCAGCCCGGATGGTGCGTTCCCTGACGGGCCCGGCGAAGACGCTTGGCGAGTCCATCCCGATGGTGGAGCTGCGGCCCAAGCAGTGGACGTGGATCCCCGCGGAGGTTAGTACGGAAGCGGCTGCCGAGGCAGCCGAGAGCGGGGATCACGACGAAGAGGAGCGCGGCCACTGGGAGGAACCCGACCTGATGGCAGGCATCAACCGCTTGATGGAGGTGCGTGCGACGATGGGCGTGGACGAGCCGACGCGCAGAGGCCAGGTGATGAATTACGTCTATAAGCAGTTGCATCGCAGAGCCGGCGAAGATCTGAACTCGTGGATGATCAGTCTCGGTGAAGCTCGCAGCCAGTTGGACGAGGAAGACGTGGCCTTGCCGGCGAGAACGGCGGGCTGGTGGCTGATCGAGAAGACTGGCCTGAACGAGACGCAGAAGAGTATGCTGATGACCTCGACCGGCGGCAGCATGGAGATTCGCGAGGTGTTCCCAGCCATGACGCGGGTGTTCCCCAACCTGCACATGACGGAGCGGCGACCTAGCACGTTCGACCGCAACAGGAGGACGATCACTTTCAATCGCCCAGGGACGCAGCTCTTGAAGAAGAAAGTGATTCGGAAGTTCAAGGAGGCACACGCGACGAAGTACCTCGACGGGATCAGCCAGCTAGACGAGGGCGAGCTCGAGGCGCTGAATGCGGAGCTCGGCAGCTTCGATGGCGACGCCGACGACGAGACGGTCGACGAGGTCCTGGCGACGGAGCAGGACCACGACATCGAGGGCATCCTCGCCGCGGAGCTGGAGGCGCTCTCGACGGTGCTCGAAGAGGCCGAGAACGACCCAGAGTTGGCCCAGGAGCTCGGGAACTTAGAGAGCGGCGCGGAATCGATGATGGAGGGCCTGATCACGGTGCGCGAGAGCAAGAAGCGCGTGAAGGAGCTTCGGAAGGACCGCAAGTTTGGCGGCAAGGGCGGCGGCAGAGGCTCAGGCTCGAGCTCGAGCAGCGGCAAGAAGTTCATGACGAGCTTCGGCAAGAGCAGCCCCCACAAGAAGAACTCGGACTGCCACGCTTGCGGCGAGAAGGGCCACTGGGCCGGCGACGCATGCTGCCCGAAGCTCAAGGAGTGGAAGGCCGAGCAGGCCAAGAAGAAGCTGCAGCAACGGTTTAAGCCGAAGGACGCGATGGTGGTGGACCTGCTGCAGACGCCAGAAGTTCTGGACGCGCAGACGACAAAGATTCAGAAGGGCGCGTTCGAGGTGCAGTGCGCGACGCCAGCGTTCGAGGTGACAGCGA